GTTCATTGTTCATCCAGCCTGTCCTATCCAGACAGGCCTGCGGAGACAACATGCACAAAAACAAGACAGAGCAAAACCAAGCAACAATGTGTTTTTTCATTGAGATCTTTTTTATCCATTGTCCAGCTTTCACTTGCTTCTGAGGTGATTGAAAATCCACGTGGCAAAAAAAAATACATGTTGCCTGGGTCAAGTGCACCTTTAGCCCTCAAAGTAATATCTTTGCTCTTTGATACTTTATTTATTTTTTTTCCCTTTTCTTTATTTTTAATTTTATTGGGAGTTCTTACAACTCTGATCACAATCCATACATATATCCATTGTGTCAAACACATCTGTACATATGTTGTCATCATCTTTTTCAAAGCATTTCCTTTCTATTTGAGCCCTTGGTATCAGCTCCTCTACCCTTTGACACTTTAAAAGAGATCTTATGAAGCAGATTTGCACCATGCATGTATGTCTTTTAATTTCTTGACTGCTGCTTCCATGAGTGTTGATAGTGGATCCAGGTAAAATTAAATCCTGGACAATCTTAATCTTTTCTCTGTTTATCCTGACGTTGCTTATTGATCCTGTTGTAAGGATTTTTGTTTTCTTTGAATAATACTTATTGAAGGCTGCAGTCTTTGATCATCAGTACGTGCTTCAAGTCCTCTTCATTTTCAGGAAGCAAGAATCTTCCGCAATCCCGGTGCCACACTCTTCATGTAGTTCAGCATGTTGAATTCTTTTCCCAGAATGCAGGTACAATAAACTGGGTGAAAGGATATCCCCGTGACACACCTTCCTGATTTTAAACCACACAACATCCCCTGGTTCTGTTTGAATGACTGCCTCTTGGTCCACAGACAGGTTCGGCATGAGCACCTCGGTAGACAGACTCCAACAGAATTTACAGACTAAGGCAGGCAGACCTGAAAGAAGGAATAGACTACTGAGGAATTAGCTACTTTTTGATGATTTGTTTCCTGAACGCTTTCTTCCAATTTGTAGGTTATCTTTTTACATATTCATAATACACTCATGTGACACCTATCAGATTAAGGTAGAGAATATATTTTATTACCTTGGAAAGCTCTTTCAGTCTGGAAATCTTTTTTGCATGGGGAAAAAATGTCATTTTTCAATTTCCTTCCCTCAGTTTTCTCACTCTTTTCTTTCTGATGCTTCTGTTAATTTGGTAGTACACACAATTGCCTTTTGGTCTTTTTTTCTTTGTCTTGTATCCTGGGCATTTTCAACTTGACTTTCCAATCATTTTATCCAATTTTTAATTTCAACTGTTATTTTAATTTCTAAGAGCTTTCATGTTCTGGTTTTACATTCTGTCTTCTTTTTTAGTATTATCATTTTTACATGGCCTTCTATCTCTCTGAGCATATCTATGTTTTCCCTGCAGTCTTCCTGTTTGCTCTGAGTTCCTGATGTTCTTTTGTTGGCATTAGTGCCTGCTCTCTAGATTTCCTCTGATGACTGATGTCATTTCTCTGTTAACATTAGAGAGGGACTGGTGTCTGTTTACTGGGGCCCGTGAGGCTGTCACTGTCAGCGTGGGAACTAAACCTTTTTGTTGGGGGATACACCAAATGAATTCTCTAAGTTTTGTTGTTTTGGCTTGCTAACTTGTTTTTTTTTGCTTCCCCCATTGGGGGTCAAAATGTTTTTCTAATTTTTCTCTTGCTAAGAATCTGCCACTCTGTCTGAAGAATAAAAGAATAGAGGCCTAACCTGTGAGTGCTGAGTAAGTAAGGGGTACTTGAAGGTCTCTGATTTTACAACATTCTCCACTACTGGGTGTCTTCTCTGGATGAGTGTCTCAAAGCTAATGCTAACAGGGCCCCGCCTCTCCATGGCTCTTTCCAACAAGTCTCCTTGTTTTTGTGTGATCCTGGGTTTGTTTTTGGTCCTGTGTTTGGCCCTTGCATTCCCGAGCCGGCCCAGGTTTGGCAGTGGAGCCAGCCTGCTTCCCATTCAGTTGCATCTGAAGACACCAGGGCTCTAGCTTTTTCACTCAAGATCATTTTTCACCATGGGTCCATCTGCTTTTCATTTACTCTCAGTTTCTTTTTCTTGGAGGGTTTCTGCTCCCACCCTGCCCCCCACTTTTTTTTTAACTTTTATTTTTGTGGGACTTCAGGGGGGATTGAAGATAAACACATATGTTCAATCAGCCATGTTTATTCTGCAGTGCCCATTTTCTGCTTCCTGTGTATGCTTTTTAATCCACCCCCCATCCCCTGTGGATCCACATCCCCAATGTATAGCTCTTAACCCTTGACTGCTACTCTGACGAGTGGGCAGGCGCCAGTCTGCTTGCCTCAGGGTCAGGCAATTCCTTCACAGGAGGTCAGAGGGTGTAGACCTTCGTTCTGCACTGACTGTCTTAGAAGTCTTTGATGCACTGTGACTTGGTGACTTCTCTGTGCTTGCCTCTTCTCTCTGAACCCTCCTGCATTGGGGTTTCTGTCACCACCTGGAGTTTTACCATGCCGATGTAACTTTCCATCTCTCTGTGTTTTGACGGGACCATCAAACTTGCATGATTGAGCCGACCTGTGCGCATTGACATCCAGGAGCTGGGAGTGTTCTCTGACAACACATCAACCTCTGAGGGCCGGGATGTGGTTTTTAAATTAAAAACAAAAGGAAAATCGGTAACATCAAACACTCCAGTGCTCAACTACGGGCCTAGGGCTGTGGGGTTTCAAAGAGAATCATGATGTGGCCTGTCTTCCATTATTCCTTATCACGAGACCCTGAACACTAGAGAAGTGCTGAAGATGACATGCAAACCATGCCAGGGGAAGCAGAGATGAATCGTCAAGGGTTTGGAAAAGCCTGGGTGGGGCGTGATGGGTGCTAAATTGGAGGGAGAGGTTAGACTTTTCACGGATGGGTGTGGTAGGGACGACCCCCTTTGCAGTAGACTTCTGTGGGTGTAGGACCTTCATTTGCCTGACAGTCACCATGACTCCTCACTTGCCTGCCTTTCAGAGCAGTGAAGTAGGGGCTGGGGGTGGGGAGGCATAGCTCTGTCTGGGAGGTGGTTTGTGCTCAGAGTCCCCCTTACAAGCCGTCTGTGATTCACATGTGCTCTCCTGCCTTGATGCTAATGTGTGATGTGTTGTTGTCGTTCTCTTAGCCGCCGATTCCTGTACATCGTTAATCTGGACGCCCCTTTCGAAGGTCACCGAAAGATCTCTCGCCAGAGCAAATGGGACATTGGTGCTGTGCAGTGGAATCCTCATGACAGCTTTGCGCACTACTTTGCAGCTTCGGTGAGCTCATTGAAGGCATGCGGGGGAAAATGCCCCTCAAGGTGTGACCGGATGCTGGCTGGTCTGTGTCCTGTGCAGAGAAGAGAATGCAGCCTTCACCTCTCAGTTAGAAAAGAAGTCCAGCTGGTTCTGAAAGGAAGGCAGGGGCAAATTGCAGATTGGAAAAAAAAGAAAAAGAAAAGAAACTGTTTGCTGGTATCGTGGGTGTCAGACCTTATATTCCTGGAAGCTGAATCCAGGCAACTTGAGGGAGTAGGTAGATGCCCCCATTTTCTGCAGTCTTGAGAGGGGCATGGTGAGACCGGTTTCACCAGCAGCTGTGTGCGTAACCTGCGTGAAGTTAGGAGGCCCTGAAGGAGGTTCTTGCTGCCTCAAAGGAAGGCTAACCTCTCCTTTCTCCAGAAGGGTCCTGAAGATTCCATACATCCTCCCTCTCAGAGGAAGTGAGTCCTCCTTGATTGGGAGTTACCAGATTGGTTAATTCCCTGAATTGTTTTGGCAGAATATCTCCGTGTTGTGTGTGAATTTCTCTAGGGAAAAAGACACAGCATTTATGAGGTTTTCTAAGATATACATGACTCCTAAAAGATCTGGGCTAGGTCATATCCTTTGCCAGATTCTAGACCGCAGATGCTAGATCATTCTCCTCGCACAATTAGGGATCTAAATTCCTTGGCCCTTTTGCCCAGATGAGGAAGTGTGGTGTGTAAGGGATTCGAGCTTTCCTGGGGGCGTTTATTGTTGTTGGGTGCCAATGGCTCATCACCACCCTAACTACAGTAGAAGGGAAGCACCGCCTGGTCTGGGGCCAGCCTCACAATTGTTCTTTTGTTTGAGCCCATTGTTGCAACCCAGCGTGTCAATCCATTTGCTAAGGCTCTTTCTCTTTTTCGCTGCCCCTCTACCAAGCATGATGTCCTTCTCTAGGGGCTAGTCTCTCGTGACAACGTGTCCAAAGTACATGAAATGAAGTCTCTCCGTCTTTGCCTCTAAGGAGTATTCTGGCTGTACTTCTTCCAAGTTAGATTTCATTGTTCTTTTGGCAGTCCATGGTACTGTCACTATTCAAATGCATCGATTCTGACTTGGTCTTCCTGACTCAGTGTTCAACTTTCATGAGCATATGAGGCAATTGAAAATACCTTGGCTTGGGTGAGGTGAACCTTAGTCCTCAAAGTGACATCCTTGCTTTTCAACGTGTGTAAAGAGGTCTTGTGTAGCAGATGTACCCAGGGTAACGTGTCGTTTGGTCTCTTGATGGCTGCTTCCGTGAGCATTGGTTATGGATCCAAGCAAGACAAAATCCTTTGGAACTTCAACCTTCCACTTATCCTGATGTTACCTTCTGGTCCAGTTGTGAGGATTTTGTTTTTCTTTACATTGAATTGTAATCCATACCGTAACCCATACTACAACCCTTGATCTTCATCAGCAAGTGCTTCAAGTCCTCCTCGCTTTCAGCAAGCAAGTGCTTGTTTCTGCATATCTGCATAACTCAGGTCGTTAATAAAACTTACTCCAACCTTGATAGTGCATTCTTCTTTCTATAACCCAGCTTCTCTATTTGTTGAGCATACAAATGGAATTTGTATGGTGAGAGGCTACTACCCTAACACACACCTTTCCTGATTTTAAAGCATGCAGTATTCCCTTGTTCTGTTTGCACAACTGCTTTGTGATCCATGTATTGGTTCTGCATGAGCACAATGAAGTGTTCCGGGATTCCATTCGCACAGCTATCCCTAGTTTGTTATGATACACAAATGCCTTGGCATAGTGAAAACACAAGTAAACATCTTTCTGGTATTTTGTTCTTTCAGACAAGATCCACCTGCCATCAGCAATGAGATCCCTTGTGGTCCATGTCCTCTTCAGAATCTGCCCTGAACCTCTGACAGGTCCCTGTCAATGTGTTGCTATAACTGTCGTTGGATGAACGTCAGCAAAATTTTACTTGCATGTGATAGTAATGATATTTTTTTTATAGTTTCAGCATTCCGTTGGGTCACTTTTCTTTCGAACGGGTACAAATATGGATCTCTTCCAGTTAGTTGGCCAAATAGCTGGGTTCCAAATTTCTCAAGTAGAGGAATGAGTGCTTCCAGTGCTTTATCAACTTGTTGCAGCATTTTTATTATAGACGTGAGTAGGTCACCGGTCCACAGCAACAACACCTCTCAGAAGTGAAGTCTGTTTCAGGTCCTCAGCCTCTCAGTCATGTGGTTCTTTGGGTTCTGCCTCTGCGGTCAGGAAGCCAGCCTACTGCCTTGCCTCAGTCTCAATGATACCCCTCTGTACTGCCTCCTGGTCTCCTTGTGTCAGCCTGTGGTGCCTCTAGTCTGAGCCCCCACCATTTCAGACAGAGGTCTTGAACGTGCTGCATTTGGGGCTCTTATTATGGTTCTGGGATTTCTCTCAGCTCCTGCTTCAAAGATGGCTCATCCTTATAGCCAGGGGGATGATTAGTGTTGCACACTCCTTATTTGCATAGTCTGGCCCAATCATTTGGTAAGAGTTAAAGAGACAGGGATGGAAGAGTGTGACCACACTCGGGGTAGCATCTTGTATTGGGCTCCAGCCTCCTGATGAGAAGGACATCATGCTTGGTAAAGTAAAGAATCCATGAAGAAGCGGAAGACCCTCCGCGAGAGGAATTGACACAGCGGCTGCAACAATGGGCTCATGGCACAGACCCGGGCATTGTTTCATATATATATATATGAAATTGTTTCATATAGATAGATAGATAGATAGATAGATAGATAGATAGATATAGGCATCTGACAATGGCAACATGCTTATTTTAGCTTAGGCCTCTCCATATAATCTTCCCTCCATTCATCACTATAGTTCATCTTTTCATGCATTTCTTTTCTATTTTTAGGCCAGAACTACCTCCAATAAAAGAGATAGAGCCTAAAGGACTTTTTTTTTTTTTTAAGTTTTCCTCCCTCACGCATACTGAGTGTAGTTCAAGCCAAGTTTGCTTATACTTTTGTCTGATAGCTTTTCTTTTTTTCAAAGTTCCACCTGTAAGATGTGTGCTGTGCAAGATGACTCCTACCTGGCTACTGCTTTTCAATCTTCAGTGCATATTCTGAGCTGCATGTTATACTACTTTCCTTTGTTTGTCCCCCACCCCACCCCCCCTCCCAGAGTAACCAGCGGGTTGACCTGTATAAATGGAAAGATGGCAGTGGGGAAGTTGGCACAACCTTGCAAGGCCACACTCGGGTCATCAGGTAGGCACCAGCCCCCCCCCAATTCCTTGGCCTGTTGTCTCTCATTTGGCCTCCAGCTCAGAGAGAAGACTCCTGTCTTCACTGGTGGAGATGTGCTCAGTGACTGTGCACACCTTCACGGTGCCCTGGGGTGGGGCTGCACAATGAAGACGCTGTCCATCCATGGCTTTTCATGGCGCTGGCCCTTGGGTGACTGTTGGGTGCTTGGCATTCACTTGTGGTGACTTTCACCATGAAGACCAATCACTGTTTAGGAACCCCTATCTGTGTTCCTGTCAGCCCCAGCCCCAGAGGACACGTAGTAAAGGAGTCAAGGTGATTTTTGCTGCAGGAGGGAGAGGGAGTTGTGCCAACAGAGTGCCTCTGTTTGTAGTCACAGAGTGCTCAGGGACCGCAGAGAGCACCCTTGGCTCTTTCTGCAGCAGCTGTAGGTTGGCACAGAGAGCCTCCACTTCACAGTTATTACCCAAGTGCAGGCTCACCACCCACTGCTGGTCTTCCAGTTGACTTCTGGAACATTCCTTGATCCACTTTTTCCCTGAATCACCCTTTCTGTGTTGGGGAAACTCGTTCTAGTGAGTAGCAGTAGAGAATGCAGGGCTAGTGAAGCCAAGGTGGGCAGAGATGGAGAAAGGTAGACACCTGGCTTGTCTTTAGTCATGGCCTCTCTCGCTGTGAAGTTGAGTGTATGGAGGATCGGGGCGGGCTTGCCACCCAGGAGAGCTGTGTGGCCACAGGGCATAGGCCATAACCAAAAGACACTGGGTTTACCCAAGACGTGTGGTTAAGGCTGACTTAGAAAACCATAGGTCTGAGAGCACGTAGCATGTTTTGTCTTTGCTTTGTGTGTGTTCAACTGAAACACCATTTCAGTTTTAGGAGCAGGCAATTGTATAGCTAGAGACGCCGGGGACAGAACCAGGAAGGTTCCTTCAGGGACCAATTAAGTGTTGTTTGTTCCCACAGAGACCGTAGACATTCACAGTCTAAACGGTGCTGCGAGGCTTATTCATGGTAGCTGTCTGAAGCCACCAGAGACCAAATTTGCCAGTGCTTTGGAATCTGATCAGAATTTTTCTTCTTTTTAACTTTTCTTTGTTCTTCTCTTCATTTCTCATGATCCTAGTGATTTGGACTGGGCAGTGTTTGAGCCGGATCTCCTGGTCACCAGCTCCGTGGATACCTATATCTACATTTGGGATATCAAGTAAGGACAACTAAGAGCCACAGCCGACCACTCTGTGGTGACTCTTCAGGACTTTTTTTAGAGCACCTCCTCTTGGTTAAGGAACTTTCTCTTCGTTTCTACTAGAAGCAGACACTGAAACAAAGATTATTTAGGAGATGAATGAAATGCTGGAAAGGGTATGGAGAGGAGATAAAGGGTCCAGGAGGCTGAACACAGAAGTGTGTGGTCAGCGCGGTACCATTCAGAACAGCTAACTTGTAATCACACTGGGGAATGCTAGGTGCTCCTGTAAGCCTTCCCAGCAGTGTCCCACCCGAGGACTAAGCAAGTGATGTATCATGTACTTTCAGCTCTGGGTTTAAGGAGCCCCTGGGGGCATCAATCCCTGGCATTCAGGTCTGTCACAGGTTTGCAAAGCTGGTTTCAGCAGCTGGCAAAATCTTTTTGGCACAGAAAACCAGGTACTGCCCTTTGGCAGCTGGACTGGTGTTTGCTGCCGTGGGAAGTGAGGTGGGGTGGGGTTGGATGGGGCAGAGAGACACACCTGCTCTTGCAGGCAGTGTGAAGAGACACGTCTGCTCCGCCCTTCACTGACTCCTGTCAGGCTTCCAATCCCCAGATGGCACAGAGGCCAGTGGTCCCCAGTTACTCTTCGTGGAGGAAAGAAAAGGAGCACCTCACCAGGCAGTTCCCAGAGTGTCACAAGTGTTTATGATTACCTACTCCCTTCTGCCTGAGCACAGAGACGCTCCCCTTGCCCTGGTGAAGGGGGACACTCCCAAGGGTGTAATTGGTAGGGCCTGCCAGCCCCAACACCCTTTGCCTTCGTTGGGGTCCTGTGCTTCCCAAACAGTGGCCTTGTGACGCTTGATCTGGAGAGGGGGCTGCAGGCCGAGGACAAGCCAGGTCAGCAGGTGGAACAGAGCAGACACAGCACCGAGAGGAGCTCTGAGGAAGGAGCATGTGCCCCACTGACAGCCTCCTGAGTCCCCAGCCCGTGAGAGGAGAAGATCGAAAAGTTCAGGGGAGAACGGAAACAGACACCAGGCAGGAAGGACGTTCTTTTTCGCCACAGAACACTTAAGCTTACCTCGTGCCCCACTGTGGCAGCTGCCCTCGGTTTGGTTTGTCTCAACAGTAAGCTGAAGCCTCCGGTTCACCCTGTCAGGGCCACCCAGCCTGAGGGTGCCACACTGTTCTGTTGCTTGACCCTGTGTGTAGGAGTCACCTCTCCAACTGTGGTGAACTGTGGAGCCCTCATTGTCTCCAGGCGTCGTTTAAATCCACCTTCGCAGTGCTCACTCGTGGAAGGTTCTGGAGAGACACCCTTCCGTGACTGTCACCTTGTTGCCAGTAGGAGACAGGCCACCAGTGAGGGATTCCTGTGGCTCCTCCCCCTCTCCACCCTATGCTAATACGTCGTGTAACTGTTTCCTCGGATCGACTGGATGATTTGAAATTCTGAATCAGCATTAGCTGGAGTTGGCTGAGAAAGTTGTTCACTTACCTAGAGAGAAATAGGGGCCCTCACCACATCTCTTCCTCCTTGTTCCCACTGACAGAAAAGTGCAGGAAGGCCGGCAGAGGCTGAGGAGCAGGTGTTTGATGTCTCACCTTTCTGTTTCAGAGACACAAGGAAGCCGACTGTTGCCCTGTCTGCCGTAGGTGAGTGTGCCCTCGCCCTGCCTGACTCCACCTCGCCCTTTGCTCACACTGACTGTCCTCTTCCCACGTCCCCACATCCTGTCCCCGTGGGGCCAAGTCAGTTGCATTTACGAGGGGCAGGCTCCAGGCGGCTGTCGGAGTCTGGGGTCCTGACTGCACGTGCAGGGCAGGAACTCAGTGCAGAACCTTGAGGAAAGGAGTCCAGTTATTTGACGTACAAACTTCATTGTGCCACATTTCAAGCACATGTGAACATCATTCTCCAGCCTCCACAGTTGTCAGCGCACAGCCCATCTGAGTTCATTGGGACCTCCATCCAGCCTTAACTTGTGGGGGGATTTTGAAGCCAGTCCCAGATATCAGCAGTCTTTTCCAGAAATACTAAAGGGTGTCTTTTTGATGAAGTAAGGGGTTTTTTAGTTAGTTTTTTTGTGCACTGGGTGAAGGTTACTGAGCAGATCTATTTTCCATTCAGTAATCCCCATTTTGTTTCATCTCATGGATTGGAATCGCCCCTATGAATCCTCACTTATCCTGCTTCCCTCTGTGTGCCCTGTCTCCATCTCTCCTCCTTTCCCACCCCTTTTGAAGTTTGTCCTTGGGCAGATGCTGCCTTTTTAAATCTCAAATGGTCCATTATCCTAAGTTGTGGGTACATCTGAGTGTTGCTGTTCCCCTTATCCATCTGCCTGTTGTTTGCTTTTATGAGTTAAGAATTCTTAGAAATAAACAACCTCAGTGCCATTAAAATACCTAAAAGTATTAATGATAATTCATTAGTATGATCATATAGCTAAGCAGTTGTTCACATTTCCCCTAGAATCTCATAATTTTTTTAAAAACATTTTATTAGGGGCTCATACAACTATTATCGCAATCCATACACACCTCAATTGTGTAAAGCGCATTTGTACATCATTCTCAAAACATTTTCTCTTCACCTAAACCCCCGACACTAGGTCCTCATTTTTCCCCTCCCTCCCCGTTCCCCCCTCCCTCATGAGCCCTTGATAGTTTATAAATTGGTATTTTGTCATATCTTGCCCTGTCCGATGTCTCCCTTCACCCACTTTTCGGTTGTCTGTCCCCCAGGGAGGAGGTCACATATAGTTCCTTGTAATCGGTTCCCTCCTTCCTACCCACTCTCCCTCCACCCTCCCAGTATCGCCACTCACACCACTGGTCCTGTAGGGCTCATCCGCCCTGGATTCCCTGGATTCTCAGTTCCTATCTGTACTAGTGTACATCCTCTGGTCTAGTCAGACTTGCAAGGTCGAATTCGAGTCATGGTAGTGGGAGCGGGGAAGAAACATTTAGGAACTAGAGGAAAGTTGTATTTCTCATCGTTGTTACAAATCTCATAGTTTTTTATAAAGCGTTTGAATCAGCGTTCAAATGAGCCTTTAATTGCAATCGGCTGATCTGTTTCTCATCTTTATTTCAATCTGTAAGTGTCTCCGCCCACTCCTTTTTTGGTTGGTTGGTTGGTTTTTCTTACCTACAGTGCGTTTTGCTTGGTTCGTTTTTGTTAGCTACAGTGTGTTTAGGGAGGAAACCAGATTGTCTGTGATTGTCCCACAATCTCCATTGTGTTGACACTGCATCCCCACAGTGTCATTTAATATGGACCAGCCGTGTCTGAATTACCTTCTGATCTATCTGATTTCATTCCTTAGCTGGAGGTAACCTTTTGGATTTCTGAACTGGGGCTGGTAGGAACTATTCCCACCACGACCCGAGCACAGGGCTTGGGTATAGAACTGATCTACCTGACTTTGCCTGTCTCTTCAGTGCTGTTTCTTTGTACCTCCCTAGTACATGTGACTGCAGAAATGATGACATAGTTCTCCTTTACCCTCTCGACCTCCGGCTTCATTATTTAAAGATATTTAGCATCAGGAATGTATGTAGTAAGCAGCTGATGGTGTGTTCTGTGAGGTCAGGGCCGAAGGTGTATCTTGTTCAGGCCGGTGGGCCAATGTCAACAGCCAGGATTGGCAGAGATGAGATGCTCAATATGGGGGTCCAGCACCTGTGTGTCTGTGCTGTGTGCTCAAGGGTTCTTTTGATCCAGTCCCCACTTTCAGGTGCTTGTGATCTGAGACATGTGACTGCAGGCCTGCTGGCAGGACAGCTAGCAGAACAAACATGCCTAGGCCCTGTGTACTGCCTAAGTCACGTTCCCCTGACTTTGCTACTCAGGTAGGTTTCAAAGTTAGAGCGGTTTTAGAAGCACCCTAAAAAGAAAGACACTTCTTTGTTCTCCCCCACATGTGCTGATTGCTTTCTTAGTCTTTCCTTGGTCCTCCTAACAGTAGATGCAAGAGACCCGTCCAGGGAGTGTCCTGAGTAGTGGCCAAGCTACCCTGGAGGAAACAAGGCAAAAACAAAGGCTTGTAATGTTATTACAATAATATAATCACAGCAGTTCAGGAATAATAAAGAGCTGCTCGAGCTAACACGTACTGGCAGATGCAGCATGAACACTGCTGCTCCCCAGAACCTGTGATCCCACCTACCACTGAGCTGCTTGTGCTTGCCTTATGGGGTCAGGAGTCAGAGCACCATGCCCCCTCGAGTAGCCTTCCTTCTGTCTGAGAACACACGGTCTGGGGGCTCCCCGTGCTCCTGTGTCATGGATACCAGTAAAGTACCACGATTTAGGAGGTTCCCAGAATGTTTTAAGAACCTTCATGTTTCTCAGCACTAAAGAAATTATTTTCTTTGAAGCTCTCCAAATAAAGCTGTGAAGAGGAGATCATCAAGCAAGCTCTTCTTACATAGTCTCTCCTCTAGCTAATGCTTGGTTTTGCCAAGGAACCAAATCTCCTAAGTAATGTACTGGATACCCCAAGTCAAACACAAGTCCTGGGTCCTCGTGGTCTACTTCCAGTTAGTTGCTAGGTCCTTGAGGTATCGAACACACAGGCTCTCGGAACGTGGACTGGGTGGCTCTCAGAACGTGGACTGGGTGGCTCTCTAAAGGACCTGCTGTTGTTTTACGCTCTAATAAACATCAAAAGAGAGAAGTGTCAAATCAGTCACCAGTGGTGTGACAAGGACAAGATAGGAAGGTGAGCTCTCTGTTTTCTGGCTTAACTTAGTTAACATGATCTTTTTTCTTTTAAAGAAGAACCCTATGTCCCTGGTTTCTACGTGTCTTGGCCCTTTTTAGCACCTTTGATTGTGCCTCTCTCTGAAGTGGCTCTTACGTAGTCATTGTAGCCTCCTTGCATTGGCTGATAGGAAAAGGCCTTAGTTCACATAGTTCCCAGAGTGTCCCTGAACTGATGATGGGACAGGAGAGCCCAGGAGGGGTATATAACCCTCTCCCAGGGAAGATTTTAGGTGAGCGTCAGCTAGCGTTTGAGGTTTTTGAAGACCGCCTCTCCCCACCAAAAAGAAAAATACAGGCATTAGAGCTGCTGCTCTTCTGATTAGAGACACACGGTTGATGTCGGTGGAGATGGTGAAGGGTCAGGTGGTGTGATGAACCAATGAGGCCTGCACAGTGCCGTGCTGAGCCTCCTGTCCCCACTGATCCTCCTGGGAGGTAACCTGTGCACTTGTTCCCCAAGTTAGATAGTTTCCTCATTTAAGGGCTCCTGGTCACGTGTTAATTCATTGATCTTGTGGCTTCACTGCACCTTTAATGGTGGAATTGATTCAGTCTTAGATTCTTGAGCTCCAGTGGAGCTCAATACCCACTTGCCCGGGATGTGGGCCGTTCTTTGGCTCCAGAGGCTCTGAGGGTATATAGCTTTCCTGCCCCGTGGTTTTTCTTTGCAGCGGGTGCCTCGCAGGTCAAATGGAACAAAAGGAATGCCAACTGTCTTGCCACCAGTCATGATGGGGATGTGCGCATATGGGACAAGCGGGTGAGTTATCCCTCGCCCCCTCACCCCTGGTTGGTCTTTAGCCCCTGTGAGAGAGCACAAAGGCTGTCCTGTGTAACAGGGCTGCGGTACCTTGGACAGCATGGTGAATTGCCACTTCAAGTTCTTAACACCAGAGGAGATCTGCTTCCCAGTTAATGTGTTGACCTGAGGTAGGGAAAGAAGGTAGGAAGTGAACATGGCCAACTCTGAGAGTCTGTGCCCTGTTGTCTCTTAATTGTTACTTCAGGCAAGCCACTATACCCTCTCGATACCCCTGCTTCCCGTCTTTAAAATAAAGATAATAATAGCAGTTATATCAATGAGGTCAAGTCTTGGGGACCAGACACTATTCTAGGGTGGTCAGAAGACTTGCGATCCCTGCCCCAGATTACAAAGTGAAGGCTAGGCCCAGGTCAAGTGCCCTCCTGATATCAATCTCTGGGGCGAGTGTCATGGCACTCAGCTCCTCCTTTAGGTTTCGGAGTACATCTGCCCAGGTAACTGAGGTATGAGAAATGCTGGGTCCTCAGCAGTGGCAGTGGTAGGCAGTCTTTTGGAAGTCTTGAGTGTTGCCACGGTGGGAGTAGGTAGGGATGCAGGGGACAAGGCTGCCCCTATGACGTACTGCCAGCCAGTTAGGTGATAGCATGCAGAGCAGTCCACTTCTCTAGGCGTGATGCTGCCTCCTGCTTTCAAACGTGAGGCAAGAGACTCTCAGCCTCATCCTGCAACTTGTCTCAGAAATGCCTCTCCCAGGCACTGAACAGGCAGACTCAGCATTGCTACCTCCCTTCTGGCAGACAAGAGGGGGTGGGGGTGGCACATGCTCCTTCTGCTGGAGTGGACGTCCAGACCTCCAGGTGCTGGCTGGATGCCTCTTCTTTGGTGAGAAGGTGATTTTGTAAATAAAATTCCACACAGGTGCATCTTCTGCCTCTCTTAGTTGAGTTTGAGGATAACTGTTTTCCCCCCTTTTATTTTTAAATCACCACCAGCATAGCACTTGAATATAATAATTTCAACAAAACATTTGCTTATATATTTACACCCAATTTGTGTACCTGGCTATATGAGGGGAATGCCACAAGGATTCCAGTTCATACTTGCCTGGGTTTATTCCAGATAAAATGTTCTTCAACAGGTCTCTGTCATCAGTGGATGGCTGCAAATACGTTCTTAGTAATGCATATGCCTCAGTCCCACAAGGGCGCCTTCAAACAACAACAACAAGGGGATCTGCTGGATCTGTTTATATTAGAGGCATAGAAGTCCTTTCAGAAGGTCAGGACAGTTGTTTGATGGGGTTCCCAAGGGTAATCTGGATGAATTTTCTCAAAACCACAGAATAATCCCAGTGCTTATTAGGAAGAAGGTTTAAGAAAATGGAAACCAGCATTGGAGAGCAAAGTGCCAGAAAGTTGCAATGAGGAATTTTTTCCCCACCATGACAGTGCACCTGCTTGTTCTCTGAGAGCTGTCCTATAAGAATCTCACTGGGAACCCCCAACTCATCCACCCTGCAGCCCTGATCTGGCTCCTTCAGACTTGATTTTGTCCCCTGCGCCCCCCCACCCCCTTCCTCAAACTCAGCTATTTTAAAGGAACATAATTTGAGTTCCTCAAAGACGCCCAAACTACCATTTTAGGTGGTACAAATTAAAGCGTGCAGAATTCTCCGAGGAAAGATGAGAGCGAGAGAACTGTCTTCAGAAGTGTGTCCTCCGCAATGGGAGATCTATAGCCGGCAATAACTGGTTTCCCATCTTGATACTTTTAATAAGGCTTTCTGTAATTTTAGAGCAGTCCTTTTTGACTTTGTGTGTGTGTGTGTGTGTGTTCTTTAACATGGCAGCACATACGTGGATTCAAATGGAAAGTGGTATAATAAAATCAGGCCCCACTGATTTTACCCAGTGCTCAAGTACCCTGGTTCACTCGCATTCTGCCATATCAAGCCTAGGCGTTCATCACAATCTGGTCAATTGGACAGGTGTTGAAATCTCTGATTCTTTGCTTTGTTGTGATGCTTCTACAGTAAAAGCTTGACTAAAACCAACCAGACAGAGTTTGTAAAGTGTATGGGGCAGTATCTGGCCCTGTGTCTGTGTCCCCGCTCAGCCCCAGCAAATCACCAGATGATGGCACCCCATGAGTTCTTTCTGGATGATGACACTCAGTGCTGCTGTGTTGCAGAAACCCAGTACAGCTGTGGAGTATCTGGCAGCCCACCTCTCCAAAATCCACGGCCTGGACTGGCACCCAGACAGCGAGCACATTCTTGCTACCTCCAGCCAGGACAACTCCGTCAAGGTGAGTGGCACCTCTCAGGGACAGGTGAAGGGAGCTGTGTTTGGGAGAAAAGCTCCGGTATGCTAGCACAGCATCTGGGTTGTAGGGGCATTTTAGGGAGCTGGACAAGTCAGCCGGATGTGTAGACCTGCCGGGGTGACAAAGCCTGTATCTAATGTGGCTTCTCGACTTTGTGCAGAATTCCTTCAGTCTTCTGAGGAAGGAAGCAAGAGACAACAGCATTTAGAAAGGAAAGGACGTTTTCTTGTCAGCAAGTTGGATTTCAGAATGGCTCATTCATATAAAAAACAACAGATGTTTATAGGAAAACCCCCACAACATTGTTAAGGTTACTGAGTTTGCACTTAGTCTGTGTGGTAGAAAAGCACCAATTATATCATGTAATTATCTACACAAGCTCTGCCATATCTTCAGATGGGAGCATTGCAAAAGTCAGAGAGAGAGTTGTTTGCATAGGCTTCTCTAACAGGAAATGCCCCAGGTTTTATGTGTTTTGGCAAGTCTGCTATTTTTGGATTATCTCAGAGTGCAGTTTGTCTTCTGGCTTGTTTTCATCTGACTGTGGGATGTCATGTGCGCCCTTGTTCAGATGATGGCAGGGCCCAGGCTGTCTATAGGCTGTCCTCGCGGTCAGTGTTTGGCCCAAAGGAAAGGGTTTGACCATAGAAGCTTGTTTTAACAATTCTGGGATTTAGCGTCATTAATTTAATACTTTGTTTTATTTACATAGTCAAGGAAGATCTCTTCCTTGTATGGTTAGCAAAGTTAGCCAGAAGATGCTTAGGCTTAAAGTTAACGTCTGTCTAGAGGTTTATAAATTCCCTGAGAGTGTCATTTATTTTTATGTGCTAGAAATGGTTTTCTGTGTTTCTTGTTTGTATTGGATTAGGGTTCTTGTCCTCTTTCTCCCAAACTCCTCCTGTCTTCCAAGTTCAGGGACTGCAAACTATCTAGTCTGTCTCTGCCTCTCTCTTTGAGACCCCAGGTTTGTTTATATCCAGTGACATCTTTACTGCCTCCACGGCTGAGATTCTAGGTAATGAAGAGGTAGCTGGCCACACTACAGGAGGACCTGTTGGGTCTGGTTTCCACATGTGGAGCACCGATCCTTACTAGTCCAGTTAGCGCACTAATCACATGAGTGTTTTGGCAGGGTCATGACTACTATGCATTTGATTATTTTACTGTAGGTTGAGAGGAAGAAAAACAATTTGTATTGAACTTAAGTAAATAACAAGATCATAAAAAAAGCAAAGCAACTTGCTGAAGGCACTTTGTATGCTATTCAACTGTTGTTATTAGTAGTTTGTAGACAAAGATAATCAATGTAGCCTGTTTCTCTGTAAATGTTATTCTTGTTTACCTTAGCTTTTCTCTTGTGTTAAGAGTTGGTATCTCTTTTACTGAGTTCTAAAGGTAAACTGGAGCAAGATACCATTGAATGAGTGTTTGACTTACAAACACTATTTTATAAATTGTTAAACTATGAAAACCCTAGGGCTAGAGATGTAGCAAGAAGAAAGAAAACGATTTTCTTACTTGATCTTGAGAATTAGAATACGATCTACAATTAAATTAATTTATATCCTTTTAGGCAATGAATGTAATATTTTTTCCTGATCTTGGGTTAAGCAGTGTGTTTCAGAAAATGCCCTTTTAGACTAACAGAGTCCTGGGAATTTGGACACATTCAGACAGGTGTCTCTCTGCCCCGAGACAAGTTTAGCTGTGTGGAGAAGCCTACCCCATGAGTTTATCCCTGTGGGCTCAGCAGTCAGTAGAACCTGATTCCATGTTAACTGAGGTTCTTCTGACTTTTCTGCAGAAGAATTCTTTCTGATCTGTAGCTTTTGGCAGGGATCTTTCAGGCAAGGGTAAGAGGAGAGCAGAAATCACAGAAAGATAGGAATATAAATAAAGACTGTTTAATTCACTATAATAGCCACTTGTATGAGATTGGAAGCTGGAGAAGTCCTCTTTGGATGTCATGTAGAATCCTTTCACAAGACTCCATCTGAGAATGCCTTGAGAGTTAGTGTCATTAGTTTTGTTGGAGTTGGCCCTGATTTGTGGTGACCCCACGTGTGTAGAGTAGAATTGCCTCACAGGATTTTCACAGCTGTGACTGTCTCAAGCAGATCCCCAGGCCTGTTTGCCCAAGTACCTCTGGGTGGGTTCAAGCTGGCAACCTTTTGATTAGTGGTGGAGTCCTGAACCATTGCACTAACCAGAAACTCTTACCTTACAAGAATAAGACCATATCACGATAGTGAATGATGGGGGGAGTGCGGAGTGGAGATCCAAAGCCCATTAGTAGGCCACTGGAGATCCCCTTGCAGAGGGGTCTCGGGGAGGAGATGAGCCAGTCAGGGTACGATGTAACAACGATGAGAAATACAACTTTCCTCTAGTTTAAATGTTTCCTCCCCGCTCCCACTACCATGACTCGAATTCGACCTTGCAAGTCTGGCTAGACCAGAGGATGTACACTGGTACAGATAGGAACTGAAAATACAGGGAATCCAGGGCGGATGAGCCCTATAGGACCAGTGGTGTGAGTGGCGATACTGGGAGGGTAGAGGGAGAGTGGGTAGGAAAGAGGGAACCGATTACAAGGAACTATATGTGACCTCCTCCCTGGGGGACAGACAACCGAAAAGTGGGTGAAGGGAGACGTCGGACAGGGCAAGATATGACAAAATACCAATTTATAAACTATCAAGGGCTCATGAGGGAGGGGGGAACGGGGAGGGAGGGGAAAAATGAGGACCTAGTGTCGGGGGTTTAAGTGGAGAGAAAATATTTTGAGAATGATGTACAAATGCGCTTTACACAATTGATGTGTGTATGGATTGCGATAACAGTTGTATGAACCCCTAATAAAATGTTAAAAAAAAAAAAACTGAAGGGAAAAAAAAAAAAAGAATAAGGCCATATCAAAAACATTGAGAACCTTATCAGTTCTCCAGAGCCCCCCACTGTTTCCTGTAAATTGTATGCTACACTTGCGATAAGCCTATTTAAACTTAGAAACAAAGTCTTTTTTTTTTTTTTTTAAAAAGATTAACTTGTTAACAGTTATTGTTTCATCATTGTTCGTGAACATGAGTATGAGTCTATCCAACCAGAAAAGTAAACAATGGCTGAAGAGCTTTCATATTAGTAACATTTTCCATGTATATAATTAGCCTAGGGAGGCTGAACATCTATTTGCTAGTTTTTCACATACCGTGAGCTTAGTCACAAAGCAGCACTCACAAAGTGCTGAGCTAATTAAAAACAGGAGCATGCCAAACATACCTAATTATTTCTAGTATTCCTCCTTTTATGAATTGAGGCAGCAAATTAAAGTTGGCCCTCTAGCCATCTGGAAAACCCAAAAGTCGTTTAGGTAGGAAAAACATATTACTAATTTATTAGTTTGATTATGAGGCCTGAATTTTACACCCCCCCCCCTCCAAAAAAACGTTGCTAGGATAAACAAGATATAAGCATAAGTGATAGAGGCCTAAGTTAAGAAATGACTAGAAATTTTATATTGACTGAAAAGAAACACAGACGTAAGAAAAAGTACTTACTTGGAATGATGATAGCCTTTAAGGGCTTTAGTTTAGATGATTCAAAATATCAATTATACTAATTTATGAAAAATACCAGTCAACAACATAGTTTAGTAGTATATGGAAACTTTTACTCCCCAAGTGTAGAATAACTATATCATTTTATTGTCTAGGACAGATTGTGAGCTCAGAAATCAATTCTCTTTGAAGGGAATTTCTTCTTTTGTTTTTGTATCATGTCCATGTAACTTTTTCACAAGCCTTCTTCCACCTTACAAGAACATCCATCAACATTCAGCCCCTATTGTCAACACTGAATGTTTCTCATCTTTCCTTTCACACTTGTCATGTGTAGGCATTATAACCAGGGCAAATGCAACTCACTTCTCAGATCTTTTACAACTTACTGAAAACTTTCAATTTTATCTTTTATTACCTTCTTTATTTTCTACCACAACCAGGCAAGTTTATTTTAAGACAAAATTAAAAAATTTTGGACAAGCAAGAAACATGTTCAGACCTAAAGGAGAAGAAGAACCAATGGTCTCGAGTTCCACCAGTCTGTCAGACCAGTTAGTCGGGACTTTATGATTTTTGAGGTTTTCCCCACATTTTTCTCCTGCTCCATGAAGGTCCTTCTAATACGATCCCTTTCAGAGCAATTGGTAGAGGCAGTCAGGCACCATCTAGTTCTCCTGGTCTCAGGATTGTGGAGACTGATGTTCACATGATCCTTTGGCCCATTGAAATAATTGTTCCCACGTGTCTTCAATTTTTATCATTCATCCTTCTTCCAGGTAAGGACAAACCAACAGTTGCACCTTAAATGGCTGCTCATTAACTTTTAAGTCCCTAGTTGCAAGATCCAGAGCATTGCCTTTGTGGACTATGGGTATGCTATTAACATGGCAAGTTTTTTTGTTACTTATGTTTTTGCCATAATAAAATTTTTAAAATAAAAGCATGTACACCCATTGTTGAGAATTATATGGTTCCGCCTCAAACAACTGGGAACAGAAATTCCGTAGGAGCCAGCAATCCCTCTGCTGGGTATACGTGGAACCCTCCAAAAGAACTGGAATGTAGTTTTCAAAGCTATGTATTTAAATTTTTTTACAAAACAACCTCATCGCCTTCAGATTGCTCTCCATTACACTTAGTACATTTGTCAAATCTGCGATTCCATTCTTAGAAACCTTTTCAAACATCGTTTGGATGAATGATAGCACCTCCCTTGTTTTTTTTCTCACTTCCTCTATGTCATCAAATCATTGTCCTTTCACAGTCCCTCTGCATTTGTGGAAACAAAAAGAAGTTGCAGGGAGCAAAGTCGGGTAAGTAAGGTGTGTGGGGCAAGAGAGGCATGCTGAATCTTGCCATAAAGTGGCACACTGAGTTGGCTTTGTGAGCAGGTGTATTGTTATGGTGGCAAAACCAGTCCCCTGTCTGCCACAATCAGGCCATTTTTTGTTGCACACTGCTACATAATCTTTTCAGAACCTCTAAATAGAAAGCTTGATTAACAGTCTGACCTGGTGGAACAAACTCTAAATGCATGAGTCAACATTTTTGACTGCTTGGAAAGTTGACACACATGCAGAATGAGGTTTGCCATCAATTGACATTTCACCTTTGTTGAAAGGAGAAAACCACTCGTACACTTGAGCCTTTCCCATAGTGCTGTCCTTGTAAGCTGTGTTTTTAACATCACAACAGTTTCTATGGCATTTTTCCCAAGCAGGAAACAAAATTTCACAGTTGCACACTGTTCTCTTAAATCAACCATCACAAAATAGGAGGTTCGAGTGAAACAACTTCTATGAAAAAATTCACTGTGACCAGCGAGAACCTTCCCAGGCGAGACCACTGGATGCACTAACCCAGGGTGCGTTGCTGGATGCTCGCCTAGCAGGAAAAATGCATACTATGAAAGCTCCACCCAGCAGAGCTTTTTTCCATTTTTCTCAGGGGTACCCCCTCGTATACTCAAAAGAAGTCAGAGGCATAACAGGACACGTGCACTCCCGTGTGCATCACAGCACTGTTCGTAGTAGCAAGAAGTTGGAAACAGCCCAAATGCCCATTGGTAGAAGAATAGATAAAGAAACATGGGTCCATACCCAATAGAATACTATAGCAACACTAGAAAGCAATAGTAAAACCGCAAAGCATCTCGCGATGTGGATGGACCTGGAGAACACTGGGCCGAGTGAAGGGAACAAGTCACAGGGAGCAAATGTTGGATGAGGCCATTACAGTAAGGAGAAAAACCAAGTAAAACTTTGATACCGAAGGAGCAGACTTTGGAGGCTCTCAACGGAGGGAGGGCAAGGACATGAAGATGAAGCAAAATGGGCAAGAAGGTTGCTGGGCTGCCATGAGTGGCAGGGAGGCTAGAGATCCTTTCGAGGCAGAAGAGGTGTCAGGGGAGGTGTCTGAATGGAATATGGGACAGGAGGTTAA